TGACACAGGTCATAACACAGGCCATAACACAGTCCATGACACAGGCCATAACATAGTCCATAACACAGGTCGTAACACACAGTAAAATGACACAGGTCGTAACACAGTCCATGATACAGGTCGTAATACAGTCCATGACACAGGTCATAACACAGGCCATAACACGGGTCGTAACACAGTCCATGACACAGGTCATAACACAGTCCATGACACAGGTCGTAAAACAGTTCATGACACAGGTCATAACACAGGTCGTAACACAGGTCGTAATACAGTCCATAACACAAGTTTTAACACAGTCCATGACACAAGTCATAACACAGTCCATGACACAGGTCATAACACAGTCCATGAAACAGGTCATAACACAGGTCGTAATACAGTCTATGACACAGGTCATAACACAGTCCATGACACGGGTCATAACACAGGTCGTAACATTACAGTCCATGACACAGGTCATAACACAGTCCATGAAACAGGTCATAACACAGGTCATAACACAGTCCATGACACAGGTCATAACACAGGTCGTAATACAGTCCATGACACAGGTCATAACACAGTCCATGACACAGGTCATAACACAGGGGCATAACACAGGACGTAATACAGTCCATAACACAGGTTATAACACAGTCCATGACACAGGTCGTAACACAGTCCATGACACAGGTCATAACACAGTCCATAACAGAGGTCATAACACAGTCCATGACAAAGGGTCATAAATCACAGTCCATAACACAGGTCGTAATACAGTCCATAACACAGGTCATAACACAGTCCATGACACAGTTCCTAATGCAGTCCATAACACAAGTCATAACACAGACCATGACACAGGTCGTAATACAGTCCATAACACAGGTCATAACACAGTCCATAACACAAGTCATAACACAGTCCATGACATCGGGTCGTAATACAGTCCATAACCACAAATCATAACACAGTCCATGACACAGGTCGTAATACAGTCCATGACACAGTCATAACACAGGTCGTAACACAGTCAATGACACAGGTCATAACAGTCCATGACACAGGTCGTAATACAGTCCATGACACAGGTCATAACACAGGTCGTAACACAGGTCGTAATACAGTCCATAACACAAGTTTTAACACAGTCCATGACACGGGTCATAACGAAGTCCATGACACAGGTCATAACACATTCCATGACACAGGGTCATAACACAGGCCATAACACAAGTCGTAATACAGTCAATAGCACAGTTCGTAATACAGTCCATGGCACAGGTCATAACACAGTCCATGACACAGGTCATAACACAGTCCATGACACAGGTCGTAATACAGTCCATGACACAGGTCATAACACAGGTAGTAACACAGGTCGTAATATAGTCCATGACACAAGTTTCAACACAGTCCCCTGACACAGGTGTCATAACACAGTCCATGACACAAGTCATGATACAGTCCATGACACAGGTCATAACACAGTCCATGAAACAGGTCGCTAACACAGGTCGTAATACAGTCCATGACACAGGTCATAACACAGTCCATGAAACAGGTCATAACACATGTCGTAACACAGTCCATGACACAGGTCATAACACAGGTCGTAATACAGTCCATGACACAGGACATAACACAGTCCATGACACAGGTCATAACACAGGGCATAACACAGGTCGTAATACATGTCCATAACACAGGTCATAACACAGTCCATGACACAGGTCGTAACACAGTCCATGACACAGGTCTTCACACAGTCCATGACACAGGTCGTATCACAGTCCATGACACAGGTCATAACACAGTCCATAACAGAGGTCATAACACAGTCCATGACAAAGGTCATAACACAGTCCATAACACAGGTCGTAATACAGTCCATAACACAGGTCATAACACAGTCCATGACACAGGTCCTAATACAGTCCATAACACAAGTCATAACACAGACCATGACACAGGTCGTAATACAGTCCATAACACAGGTCATAACACAGTCCATGACACAGGTCGTAATACAGTCCATGACACGGGTCGTAATACACTCCATAACACAAATCATAACACAGTCCATGACACGGGTCGTAATACAGTCCATGACACGGGTCGTAATACAGTCCATAACACAAATCATAACACAGTCCATGACACAGGTCGTAATACAGTCCATGACACAGGTCATAACACAGTCCATAACACAGGTCGTAACACAGTCAATGACACAGGTCATAACACAGTCCATGACACAGGTCGTAATACAGTCCATGACACAGGTCATAACACAGGTCGTAACACAGGTCGTGATACAGTCCATAACACAAGTTTTAACACAGTCCATGACACAGGTCATAACGAAGTCCATGACACAGGTCATAACACAGTCCATGACACAGGTCATAACACAGGCCATGACACAGGTCATAATACAGTCCATGACACAGGTCATAATACAGTCCATAACACAGGTCATAACACAGTCCATGACACAAGTCATAACACAGTCCATAACACAGGTCGTAATACAGTCTATAAACACAGGTCATAACACAGGTCCATAACACAGGTCGTAACACAGTCCATGACACAGGCCATGACACAGGTCGTAATACAGTCCATAACACAGGTCATAACACAGTCCATGACACAGGTCGTAACACAGTCCATAACACAAGTCATAACACAGTCCATAACACAGATCGTAATACAGTCCATGACACAGGTCGTAATACAATCCCTGACACAGGTCGTAATACAGTCCATAACACAGGTCATAACACAGTCCATAACAAAGTCATAACACAGTCCATGACACAGGTCATAACACAGTCCATGACACAGGTCGTAATACAGTCCATGAAACAGGTCATAACACAGTCCATGACACAGTCCATGACACAGATCGTAATACAGTCCATAACACAGGTCATAACACAGGCCATAACACAGTCCATGACACAGGTCATAACACAGTCCATGACACAGGTCATAACACAGGTCATAACACAGGTCGTAATACAGTCCATGACACAGGTCATAACACAGTCCATGACACAGGTCATAACACAGGCCATAACACAGGTCGTAATACAGTCCATGACACAGGTCGTAACACAGTCCATGACACAGGTCGTATCACATCCATAACACAGGTCATAACATTCCATGACACAGGTCGTAACACATGTCCTAACAGAGGTCGTAATACATTGTCAATAACACAGGTCATAACACAGTCCATGACACAGGTCATAACACAGTCCATGACACAGGTCGTAATACAGTCCATGACACAGGTCATAACACAGTCCATGACACAGGTCGTAATACAGTCCATAACACAGGTCGTAATTCAGTCCGCTAACACAAGTCTTAACACAGTCCATAACACAGGTCATAACACAGGCCATAACACAGGTCGTAACACAATCTACAACACACGTCCTAACAGTCCATAACACAAGTCGTAACACAGTCCATAACCGCAGGTCATAACGTAGGCCATAACACAGGTGGTAACACAATCTACAACACGCGTTCTAACACAGTCCATAACACAGGTCGTAACACAGTCCATAACAGTTAGTAACACAGTCCATAACACAGGTCGTACTACAGTCCATAACAGGTCGTAACACAGTCCATAACACAAGTCGTAACACAGTCCATAGCACAGGTTTTAACACAGTGCATAAGACAGGTTATAACAAAGGCCGTTACACAAGTCGTAACACAGGTCGTAACACAATCTATAACACAAAGCCACAATACAGCTCATAACATAGGTCGTAACACAGGTCGTGACACAGTCCATAACACAGGCCATAACAAAGGCCTTAACACAGGCCATAACACAGGTCGTATCACAACACAGTCCATAACATAGGTCGTAACACAGGTCATAACACAAACCATTACACAGTGGTAACAGAGGTAGTAACAAAATCTATAACACAGGTCATAACAGAGGCTTTAACACAGGTTGTAACACAGGCCTTTACACCAGTCGGGTCGTAACACAATCTATAACACAGGCCATAACACAGCTCATAACATAGGTCGTAACACAGGTCGTAACACAATCCCACAACACACGTCCTAACACAGTACATTACACAGGTCGTAACACAGTCCATAACGGTAGTATCACAGTCCATAAAACAGGTCGTAACACAGTCCATAACACAGGTTTTAACACAGTGCATAAAACAGGTTGTAACAAAGGTTACAGGTTGTAACACAGGCCATTACACCAGTTGTAACACAGGTCGTAACAAAGGCCATAACACAGGTCATAACACAATCAATAACACAGGTCACAACACAGGTGGTAACAGAATCCATAAGACAGGTCCTAACACAGGTCGTAACACAGTCCTAACACAGGTCGTAACACAGTCCATAACACAGGTCATAATACAAGTAGTATAACACAGGCCTTTACACCAGTCGTAACACACGTCGTAACACAATCTATAACACAGGCCATAACACTGCTCATAGCATAGGTCGTAACACAGGTCGTGACCCAATCCATAACACAGTCCATAACACAGGTCGTGACCCAATCCATAACACAGTCCATAGCACAGGTTGTTACACAAACCATAACAAAGGCAATAACACAGGTCGTAACAAAATATATAACACGGCCCGTAACACGGGACGTAACACAGGTCATAACACATCATAACACAGGTCTGAACATAAGTCATAACACAGGCCATAACACAGGCCATAATATATGTTGTAACAATACAGGCCATAACACAGGTCGTAACACAGGTCATAACAGAGGCTATAACACAGGCCATAACACAGGTCGTAACACAGGCCATAACAGAGGCCATAACACAGGTCATAGCACAATCCATAACACAGGCCATAACACATGGGGACGTCGTTTTTTTATATTTTCATGTTTTTGAGTAGATATTTAACTTAACATTGAATCAAGCATTTGAAGATAACTTGCCCCAGACTGACCGGAAGTTATCTGACCTTCACAGGCAGAAGACCGGTACCAGTGTATGAAGAAGGTCAAGGCCGAGGAGGCGGAGGTCATGCGGGTCGACGACACAGACATATACGCAGCAGGGAAATATTTTGGTCTGGTCCCAATCCTCAAGGAATCCAGCAGTTTGAGTAAGTCTGATAGCTGTTCATACTGTTAACCACTGGTTTTATAGGCCAAGATTCGATATTTATTGCTGAGAGTGGCATCAAGATCATTCTCGTTCACACACTTGGTATATTTGCTGAACATAGTTTCACTGAAGATTTTAAACAACTGCAAACTGAGGGGCGTTCCGAAAGTAGTCAGCCTAACTATATTCTCGAAGTCCAATGTTAAAAAAGCTTCCATGTTATCTTGCAGGAATCATTAGCAAACCCATATCCAAAATTTTACATATGTGGATAATGTGGTTAACGAGATATTAGTCATCACAAGACATTGATGTATAATGTTCCTTTAAAAATTGCAGAAAGTGAAAAACGATCTGTCATTTTGTACCTCTTGGAAAATGGTATGCCTTCAGATAATATCATATAAAATATGTTACTATAGTATTGGATGACTTCCCTTCATAATCAACATTCAAAGATTTGGATTGCTTGATGTATATTTAAACGGGGCTGTTTTTAAAAGACACCCCCATTTTCATCTTTCCAAAACATTGTATCCAGATATTCAAGCTGGAACTGTTTACAATATTTTGAAAGCTGACATTTGTGTGACCATTCAGTAATTAGTTTGAACCCCTGGCATCATGTATGAATAATTGAAAACATTAGAATAAGTTATGTCCTTATGATTACGTCATCTGAAAGGGGGTTTTAGTTTCTAAAACAAGCTCTTTCAGTAAACATCATGGGGGAGTCACTTTAACAAACCGTTGTTGTTTCAAATTGCATTTTTATACACTTTAATCTCTACGTTCGATTCTAGAGGACTTCTGCCTATCTCAAACACACAAAATGTTTCTTGCATATTTTGTTTCCTGAAGTTTGTTATGCATTTATTGCAGATTTTGAGTTTTAGGGGGTACCAAGATAAAGAGTCAAACAAAATGGGGATCGTGAGGCTGGAACATGGCAAAAGCAATTTGCTTGAGGTTGACAGATAACATGTCGAAAAATAAAACATAAAACCTGCTGCATTTATATAATTTTATAGGTGAGGCCGACTACGTTTCGGCCCAACCTCGTAAAATAGACTTTTACGATTTCGATGAGCTAAACATTTGTGGTCTAACCTCACTTTGTTTTTGTTAGAAGTGACGTTACGTCGGTGTCGTTTCAGATGCAAATGACGGCCTGTTTCTGTACAAGGCTGTCATCGTCATCAGGAAGGACAGCAGTATCACATCACTGGAGGCGCTTCGACAGAAGAAGTCGTGTCACACTGGGGTGGGGCGGACGGTGGGGTGGACGGTGCCGGTATCCAACATGCAGGCAAAGGGGATCATTTCAATCAGCAATTGCGACAACACCGTGGACAATGTGGCCAACTTCTTCAGCCAAAGCTGCGCCCCTGGCGCGTTTGAAGAGAAAAATAATCTTGAGGGTAGGTACTGTACATCTTGGTGAATCTGGAAAGGACCAAGTTCTTTGTGGCACCGCTTGTCGTTTGAACCGATTTAGAGAACTGAATGGCGACGATGTTTGTGTTAAGGAGGATTAAGTCCTGTTGTGCCATGCTTGTCGTTAGACCCGATTTAGAGAAGTGGGTGGCTACGATTTATTTGTGGGTTGAATGTGTGTCATCGTTCACCCTCCGGGTGCATCGACTGTTCGACCTAGTTTGCCTTGTCTTAGTTTTATGTTATGCAGGCAAACATGACATTCCTGGAATATTTCTGAACGTGGAATAAAACAATTTTCACTCACTCACTTGATGGGAAAAGCACCAAACTCGAAAACTATATTTCAAGATGCCACTATATGTTGCTCCTTCTGAAACACGTACTTCATTTAAAAAAAGACTTATGTTAATAAATCCAATGCTTCCTTGTCGGAAGAGGCGATGGTGCTAATCACACACTGCACCAAAATGGTAATCAATCCCGAGTTTTTGGTTGTGCGAACACTTCAGCCCCAAAGCCTATTTCACACCTGAAGTGATTGGAATTAGACAAGTGACATCGTGAGAATAATGTTGAACTGTATAGCAGTTCTTAAAAGCACTTGAGTGAGTGAGTGAGTTTAGTTTTATGCATATATGAATTATTCAAGCGCTTGGTAGGTTGGTTTGTTGTTTAACGCCGCACTCAGCAATATTCAAGCTATATGTCGGCGGTCTGTAAATAATCGAGTCTGGACTAGACAATCTAATGATTAACATCAAGAGCATCGATCTACGCAGTTATGTTTACGCCGCACTCAGCAATATTCCAGATATATGGCTTTGGTCTGTAAATAATCTGGACCAGACAATCCAGTGATCAACAGCAGGAACATCAATACGATGACATGTGCCAACAAAGTCAGCGAGCCTGACCACCCTATCCCGTTAGTCACCTCTTACGACAAGCATGGGTTGCTGAAGATCAATTCTAACCCGGATCTTCACGGATCTAAAAGCACTTTAAGAATGAAACGTAGGATGTTGATTATACTTGTTACAAGGGGTGGTTGATAACAGTATGTATACATTTCTGTTTACGTACTGTTTGTACAAAAACAACTTTGATTTTTCAAATGTTCATCCACAATATACCTGTCTTACATTACACAAGGCTAGTGGATGCTAATGTTATTGCTTAGCCCAGTGATTAATGCGTTCGCTACTCTCCTGGGTTAGGTTGTGATGTGTGCCGTCATTGGCGCCGAGATCTTGCCGGAATATTACTGAATTGGCTTACAACATTTTTTCTAACCGGGTATCCCACCCCTATTACCCTAACCTACCCTGATACCCCTTATGTTAATTTCTGACATCAAATTTGTAAGTAATTGCAATATATTCTTCAGCTCGGAAGCTTAAATTTGGAGTTTTTCAATATCGTAACCATCTTCAAAAGAGGTGACTGTAATTGTGTCTAAATCTTCAAAGACAATACAGCCTTTTAATCATGAAAGAATAACATATTACATTGTTTAATCTATTAGTCACATGATCATAACGGGTCCGGGTAATGAGACAGGTATCTGGGTTCAAATCATTACCCACCCGTCCCGGGTATCCGGGTTACGTATCCCAGCCCTAATACTGACGGTGTACTGGTACCTCTACAGGAGACAACCCAGAGAAAGTGTGTGCTATATGTGCCAACCCTAAGTGCCCGTCTAACGACACCTACAGTGGCTACGGAGGAGCCGTGCAGTGTCTCCTTGAGAACAAAGGTGAAGTAGCTTTCGCCAAACATTCCACCATAGACGAACTTGCTCGCGGAAACTCCGCCATCCGTAAGGATGACTTCCGACTTCTTTGTCCCGATGGTCGAATAGTACTTGTGGACGAGTGGGACACCTGTTCCTGGGCAACCAGACCTACTGACGCCATTGTGACGTCACCAACGTTACCCCAGGCAACAATAGACCAACTGCGTGATATCTTTGAAAATGGCGCCAGGCAGTTTAACGGATCTGGAACCTTCAGCATGTTTAGTTCGTCTGGAGGAACTGACTTGTTGTTTACAGACGGAACAAAACGGCTGCTTGAGTCAGCGAAACCAACTACACAAGTTATTTAGGTAAGTGAGCAAACATGACTGAGTCTATCTACATTCAACAACAAAAAACACACAAATGTGTCAATCTCCTATAGATCTTTGTGTCAATATGGAACCCTACGCTTGACAGCGGTAAATGGATCCAAACTGAAAAGGCGATGCCACTGACACTGAAAGAAGTATCCATTCACGATCTTCAAAGATCATTTGTTGGATGCTAACACCATCGTATCTTGGCACTTTAAGTGACACGTAGCAAATGGAGACAAAGCCTCACACCTGCATACACGTACTTTCGCAGTAACTTGTGAAACTGTGTTGTTAGGGAGTACAGTAGGGAGGTGACTTTACATGTTTATAACATCATAATAACCCAGATGACGTTACATGTTGTGTGACATTACAATACCCCAGATGACTTTACATGTTTTATAACATCACAATACCCCAGATGACTTTACATATTTATAGCATCATAATAACATAGATGACTTTACATTACAACAACCCAGATTACTTTACGTTTTATATTATCACAATTACCAGATTACTTTACATGTTGTTTAACATCACAATAACATAGTTGGCTTTACATGTTGTATAACGCCATAATAACATAGATTAATTTACTTGTTGTTTAACATCACAAATACCCAGATGACTTTACATGTCGTTCATCACTATAACCCAAATGGCTTTACTTGTGGTAGTAAATGCAGCCTCGACGTTACGTGTTTCCAGGTGAGGGCTACCTGAACACGCTGGAGAACTACGTAAAGTGCGACTACACAAACAGGTGGTGCGTGGTCTCGGACGCGGAAGCTCACAAATGTTTACAAATGAGTGCAGCGTTCGCCGCTGGCCGGATCACAAGCCAGTTGACCTGTGTACGTGCGGGGTCACACAGAGAATGTATGGAGAAGATAGAAGCCGGACATGCGGACCTGGTCACGTTGGATGGAGGGGATGTATACACTGCCGGCAAGTAAGGCCCCTTTTAATGACTTTAGGCTTTCATTGGATGCTTTCCGTTAAACCTGGGACGAATTAATGTAGGCTAATAACGTCGTTACGTTTATCAGACTTGAGATCCGTTCTTGCGATCAGGGCCCCGTTCCTCAAAGCGATCGTATCTATGTTAAAGTATGCGAGCTACGATCATCTTAGCGCTACGACTGTCGTAAGTCTATGTTAAAGTATGCGAGCTACGATTATCTTAGCGCTACGACAGTCGTAAATCTATGTGAATGGCTCACTCACTCACTCACTCACTCACTCACTCACTGACACCCACTTGTCTTTATTGCAGTCGACTCCAGCAGATAAAGGGGTGGTGGGGTAGACTATTGGCTAAAGAGTTCACGCCCAAGACCCGGGTTCAATTCCCAACATGGGTAGAAGATGTGAAGCCATTCCCTATGATAGTCCTGGAATATTGGTAAAAGGTGTAAAACCTTACTGACTCACTTAGCCAACAGCTGCGAGACTTCTGTTTTAATGTTACATGTGTTAATTCTAACTGTGATACTCTGGTTGTTTTACTGTCCACTCCAGGTTTTCATAATCTAGATTTATTTATGATTAATGTATAGATTGCTCTCGTCACGATATGACTGAAATATTATGTGACGTTAAATATTAACTCACTCACCCTGATGCGGCGGTAAGAAACATTCACTCACTCACTCCTTGTTTCAGATAGCGACCCGTGAAGATCCGGATTAGAATTGATCTTCAGTAACCCATGCTTGTCGTAAGAGGCGACTAACGGGATCGGGTGGTCAGAATCGCTGACTTGGTTGACACATGTCATCGTATCCCAATTGCGTACATTGATGCTCATGCTGTTGATCATTGGATTATCTGGTCCAGACTCGATTATTTAATGACCGCCTCCATATAGCTGGAATATTGCTGAGTGCGGCGTTAAACAACAGTCAATCAATTGTTTCAGGTATCACAAGCTTGTTCCCGTGATGGCGGAGAACTTCCCTGACACCAGCGACGCCAGCTACTGGGCCGTAGCTGTCGCCAAGAAGTCCAACACCGGCGTCAGCTTCACCAACCTGAAAGGTAACCTTCAGATCTTCTTGGGTACTTGTATCTATCATCCGTGAAGATCCATGTTAGAATTATTATTCAGCAACCCATGCTTGTCGTAAGAGGCGACTAACGGGATCAGGTGGTCAGGCTCGCTGACTTGGTTGACACATGGCATCGTATCCCAATTGCGTAGATCATGCTGTTTTTGGTCCAGACTCAATTAATTTATAGACCGCCATATACCTGGAATATTGCTGAGTGCGGGGTTAAACAACATATAAACCTAACCACCTTGATCAGGGCCACGTGGATGGGATTGTACGGCGCTTCAAAGATGCTCTCAATCCCACAATCGGACAGCGTTCATCCTGTCACTATCTTTCAGTTGTGTGTGAGTGAGTTTAGTTTTACGCCGCCTTTAACAATATTCCAGCAATATGACGTTGAGAGTCACCAGAAATGGGCTTCACACCTTGCACCCATGTGGGGAATTGAACCCTGGCCTTCGGCGTGACGAGCCAACGCTTCAAGCTATCCCACCGCCCCAGATTTATTTCGAACCATTCTCCTCGTGTACTGGTCAGAATGTCAGTCCGTAGCGTCACATTGCTGTTAACTATTAAGGAATTTTACAAATTTAATTTTCTTTGATTTGGTTTGATTCATGATTTATTTAAATGTACATTTTCTGGCCATAATCTTTTTGTTACTAGTTTTATGATACTACTCTATGTCTCCATACTAAGTCTGACGATACATTTGTCGAACAAACCCCTCACTCTGTTCTCACGGAACATAAACAACATATACACACGTCACAAACCTACATTTGTTTCCAATCCGTTCAACGTTACTTATATAAGGTTATACTTATACTTATAATAGGTTTTGTCACACAACCATGTAGGACTTGATCTGTGATGTTACAAAGGGATTTGATCTAATTTGTAACACGTATAATAAAAACCCCTTGATTCCGAAAACCCCATGTTTCTGGTCATTACCGTTATTTACCACAAATACTGCATACCCACTATTCGTTAATCCGCAAGTATGTAAAGCTATACTATTTCACTGGAAGCGACTGTCCAGATTAACGGGGTTTGTCTATAATGTGTTGTGTGTGTTTCAGGGAAGACCTCCTGTCATACTGGCATCATGAAGACTTCAGGCTGGAACATTCCAGTTGGAACCTTGATTGAGGAGGGGTCAATAACGTCATCGTCCACACAGTGTGGCATCATTAACGCCGTGGGGACGTTCTTCTCCAAGAGCTGTGTCCCCGGTGCCTTGGATTCCAAGTACAACCCATCCGGAAAGAACCCCAGTAGTCTCTGTGAACTGTGCGGGGGAAAACAGTTCTGTCAGAGAGACAGTTCCAACAAATATTACAGCTACAAGGGAGCCTTCCGATGCTTGGTTGAGAAAAACGCTGACGTTGCTTTTGTTAAACATTCCACGGTTCAAAGCTACACCGATGGGAAGCTGAACGAGGACTGGGCGCGAACTCTGAACTCCGCGGATTTTGAACTGCTTTGCCCTGACGGGTCTCGGAAGTCAGTAGATAGATGGCGAGAGTGCAACCTGGCTAAAGTCCCCTCCCACACCGTCGTCACAAGCGTCAAGAAGACAACGACGGAACGACGTCACTACACCACCATCTTAAGAAAGGCTCAGCTCAAGTTTGGGAAGGACAGTGACGTGTTTAAAATGTTCGCGACATACGAAGGCAAAGGACGCCATCTTTGATGACGCAACCTCGAAACTGTCTTCCGTACCGGAAGCCAAACAAGACTACACCCAGTGGCTGGGTCAAGAGTACCTTGGGGCTCTGAAAGCGCTGGACAAGAAGCCGTGCACCAGTGGCGGAGAAGGAGTTATCGCATCTGCCCATATCATCATGTTTCTGTTTGTGTTGTTTAATCTCATATAGTCACATACATACAATGTTACCGTTATCTGTATATAGTCGACAACATGGTCCAAATGAAGTCCCCTTCCAGAATTTGTTTTATTAAAGTTAGTTATTTGATAAATATTACAAATACAATATTACAACCTTTGGAAAGAAATCATTTTGTTCGGTTTGAGCCTTGAGGCCCCATCCGGAATCTGTTTTAATAAGATAAATTATTTGATAAATATTACAAATACTTTGTAACAATATACCCATGCCAATAATGGTTGTCACCCCTTCAATTTTTTGAATTGGCGAGGGGTGTGAGGTGAATGGGGGGCTGACAACCATTATTGGCATGAGTATATTTAAACCTTTGGAAAGAAATCATATTTTTCGGTTTGAGATAATACTTAATCACATGTTAACTTTTAAGCCTTGAGGTCAATAGACTATAAGAGCCGTGTGTAAGACTGGAACAAGTTTGGGCCTTTCTTACTATGCCATGCACGTATCAGCCCAACGATGGGCTCCACCTTTATTATCACATGAGGTGCAAGTTAATGTAGTCTTACACGCTTAGGGTATACTATAATAATATAATGTATAACTCTGATAGAACCATCTAACGCTGGGGTTATTGAAAAGGTGCCCCACTGGTCTCTAAGATTCAGACTTGAACCTGACGAAATCTAGACTTGCTTCATTTAGTGCTTTTGCAGAAAGTGTCGCTTTATAGTTTATAACATGATCGATCGACAAGAAATGGAATATTGTGTTCTTAGTGTACCGATAAGACGTCGGAAGTCATCGAAGACGCTGACCACTGGTCCAATCTGTCTACATATTTCATATGTATTTCTTACGTGTGAGTGGGCGGTGGGGTAGTCTAGTGGTTAAAGCGTTGGTTCGTCACGCCGAAGACCCGGGTTCAAATCCCCCATTTCTGGTGTCCCCCGCCGTGATGTTGCTGGAATATTGCTAAAAGCGGCGTAAAACCAAACTCAGTCAGTCAGTCAGTCTTACGTGTGAGTGAGTGAGTGAGTATGGTTTAACGCCGCTTTTAGCAATATTCCAGCAATATCACGGTGGGGGACATCAGAAATGGGCTTCACACATTGTACCCATGTGGGGAATCGAACCCGGGTCTTCGGCGTGACGAGTGAATGATTTAACCACTAGGTTAGCCCACCGCCCCGTATTTCTAACTAACAGTATTTGAGTCTTATCACAGCATGTCAGGATTAGTGTTGACAAGACCATGGTTTATAATCGGAACGAATATGGGAATCGAGCCCAAATAAGTTTTAAAACTTTCAGCAGAAGCATATCCGTCAAGACTCACTTGTCAGCTTTGCTTGGTGCATTAATACTACACAGTGAAACTATGGTTCTCTCGAAACCCAATAATCCGAACACTTTCCCTTCAAGGACTAATACTAGGTGAGTGAGTGGGTTAGGTTTACGCTGCACTGAGCAATATTCCAGATATATGGCTTCGGTCTGTAAATAATCGGATCTGGACCAGACAATCCAGTTATCAACAGCAGGAACATCAATACGATGACATGTGTCAACCAAGTCAGCGTGCCTGACCACCCGATCACGTTAGTCGCCTCTTACGACAAGCATGGGTTACTGAAGATCAATTCAACCCGGATCTTCACGGGTACTAGTACTAGATACCTCTGATTCGTTTTGTCAAACGTCTGTCCTTTAATGGTTGGTACTAGATACCCTATGTTCGATTATCCAGACTTCTACCCCTAAGTCGAAGGTTCGAACTAAATGTGTAAAACAAGAACTACATACTTCAAACTTAACCTCCTCTCGATCGGGACGATAGTGGTTAAAGTGTTCGCTTTTGACAACGAAGACCGTCCGATCGAGACCTGGACAATAGTCTACAGAGCTCCAGATAAGCTGCGTATTTGCGTATAATACGCTATAGAAAAGTTGAAATACGCAAGAAAAATAAATGCCAGCGTATGAAAAAACACTACATATTTACCTATACGCTATGTCAAAATAAGAATGCGTATTTACTTAATACATCAACTATATGGTGCGTTTCGTATCAATTCCAGCCAATCGAAACAAACATTTCCATCTCCAAATATTCGTGATTCAAATATTATTGAATAATTCTAAACGCAATTAAGATGCGCAGATAGAATACCAGTCATGGTTTGTGAACCCTTCACTGACTTGCCAATCTATAAATAGCGACCAATGAAATTGCTGTTTCCTGTGTACATGTCCTGTAAACAAAGCAAGCATGGCCAAAGGCTTATCTGGAGCTCTGTTAGATCCTGATTAGGTCGCGATCTGATGCTGGACGGATCATGGATGAAACACCCTGAAACGTTATGTATTATAGTGTAGTGTCTGCCAGTTATGTTTTCTGTCTATGTAGCGGCCATAATATTTCCGTGTCCCGTGCTTCGAAACACAGACCTCCTGATCCGAAGTCGGACGCCTTGTCCACATGACCAAAGAGGTTAAACCCCGTCAGCAAGCTGACAAGGTGAGGATGTCATCTATAGGATGACTCCACGCCCTGCTACATCTATATGCACTAGTGGTGAGTAAAAGAGACAGGTTGTTTCCCAAATTTTGAATAAAGATTCGTTACAAAAACTTGATGGCTTTAATGAAAGGAATTTTATGACAATCCGTTTGATGTTGGGGGAATTGCCCATCACATAGGGGTGTATCCAAGCAAACGTTGGCTAAATAGAAATCAGATCACTTGACATGCTTTTCCTTCTCTTCAGAGTGAGTAAGTATAGCTTTACGCCGCTTTAAGCCATATTCTACCGATATCATAACGGGTCACATTAGAAGCTTACTAGTAGAGACTGTTATTCAAGAGCTTGGTGTTTCGTGTTTACAAATATATCTTTAGATACATTTCACGACAATTTTTGCAAAACTTTACCATGTGTTTTAAACCATTCCATTGTATATTCGTTTTTATAATAAATAAATGTGTGTACAACCTTATCCATATACATATTCATGTATTTTTTTCCACATATGGTAAATGTTAAACACCTCGTCAGGATTTGGGTAAAATAACAGGTTGGCTCCTCTTCCTCGAAATATTGATTGTCTGTTTGTTTTTCAACGCCGCGCTCAGCAATATTCCAGCTATATAACGGCGGTATGTCGTAATCGAGTCTGGACCAGAACATCCAGTGATTGACATCATGAGCATCGATCTACACAATTGGGATACGATGACATGTGTCAACCAAGTCAGGGAGCCTGGCCACCCGATCCCGTTAGACCCCTGAGACAACAAAAATGGGTTTCTAACCAGGATCTTCCCTTCTTCAGTAAGTATGTATAATGAGAGGAAGAGCTTTGTAACGAAACAATATGTGTCTATTACTTGTATGGAAGCGTGCTAGCATGCATTTCATATGGCTGGGTATGTAGCCTGACCACCCGTTAGTCGACTCTTACAGCCGCTGGAGAAGGATATGTTGAAAACGTTTTACATATTCTAAATATAAGTGGGACTGTCGATGCACCTTCAACATACTGCCTTAAGTGAGGAACATCACCTCATGGCTGATAAGATGATCACATCCACATTTAAGCATTTTGATTTCAATTAAGGTATGAGAAGTTACATAAGCGATTGACATTGTTGTCTGGTTTTATCACAGTTTGCCAGTCTGTGTGTTCTGTTTTCACCAAAGTGCATGTGTCTGTCAGTTACCATTTATACAACCATTTCCAGATCCACATATACTGAGGGAAACAAATAAGGGAACACCACTTCATGGCAGTGTTCCTCTATTTTTTCTCAGATTTCCTCCCACAGTGCTATTCAAAGCTGGTGATGAAAACTGGAAAATATTTAAGGAACACTTGAATTTTCCTGCGTTTCTTTTTGTATTTGTTTCTGTCAGTATATATAATCATACTTGTCGTTGCACTCAGCCTTAGACGTTTTAAGCACCTCGCTTCTGAGAGTTTTACCATAAGAGTAAATCAGATACCGTCCCATATCATCAGGCATCACGCGCCAGACTAGTAAGTTCTGAATTTAGGTGGCGGAAAAGAAACCTTTCAAATTTTCCCACTGGACCAGTGAGTGGACAATAATTAGTGGTCCTGTCTGTACTTCCCTGGTCCAAAATAACATTTGTAGATTTACTTAACTGTCAATACAAAATTCACTGGCCACCAGGACCACTGCAAACCTATCATTTAGTGGTCCTGATGAGTTTTCACTAGCCAGGGACAACAGGACCAGCGTACATTTCGCACTCAATCTGTATAGAAGGAGCTATAGGCAGCACAATATATCTAGGCTATTTACAAGCTTGCAAATTCCTTCTGTTAAGTGTATCAAGATCATCTTACTTCAGCCAGATGGATACAGCGTTGTTGCCTGTAGTAACGTGAGTACATTCCGTCAGCTAGATGGTGACGTCACCGATATAAATAGATATGCATGCGATTATTTAGCACCTCTTCAACCAGAAGTAGTTCAGTCACATTCAATGCTTTTTCCGTTGTCGACGGTGATGTATCAGCATCCCAACCGACAGAAACATACCTGGAATGAGATGAAATGAGTACATTCTGTAAACGATAGAAAGTCACGATGACAAGGATGTGTTTACATCCACCAGTGATAGTTTCCGTGTAATGTTGAATCATGTCGTCTGCTTGGTGTTGAATCCTGTCGTCTGTTGGGTGTTGTGCCCTGTCGTCTGGCTGGTCTTGTATCCTGACCTCTGTCTTGTGGGGTACCCTGTCGTCTGTCTGGTGATGTACCCTGTCGTCTGTCTGGTGGTGTACCTACCCTGCCGTCTGCCTGTTGGTGTACCCTGTCGTCTGTCTGGTGGTGTACCTACCCTGCCGTCTGCCTGGTGTGTACCCTGTCGTCTGTCTGGTAGTGTATCCTGCCGTCTGTCTGGTAGTGTACCCTGTCGTCTGTCTGGTAGTGTACCCTGTCGTCTGTCTGGTAGTGTACCCTGCCGTCTGTCTGTTGGTGTACCCTGCCGTCTGTCTGTTGGTGTACCCTGCCGTCTGTCTGGTGGTGTACCCTGCCGCCTGTCTGGTAGTCTTATAAGGATAAGGCCCTACATACTGTTGGTTGACAGAGGTGTTGAAGTAATGAGGGAAATAGCCTTTCTTCAACTCTT